TGTATTGATCTACCAGCACTAATATAAAGGGTTCTTCAAATGAGGCTTTTATTGTGCAATTGCCTAGCCTCAGTCACAGAATTTTATAAAGGAGGTGGGGGGTGTCTCACTATCTTCTGATGGTAAACCTCCCATATTTTCCACCAAAAAAAAAAAAAAAAGGAAGGAAGGAAGGAAGGAAGGAAGGAAGGAAGGAAGGAAGGAAGGACAGAATGGTTGCACAATGACTTTTGATTAGTTGTGTCAAAAGGATCTTGTGGCACCTAAACGACAGGCACATATATCATGGCATAAGCAGGGATTCTAATCTATCAAAGTTTATGGCATAATACCAGTTTCTAACCTTGAGTACTACAGTACTAACCTTGAGTACTACAGTACTCAAGCCAGTGGGATTATTTGATGATGCAATGGCATACCATGAGCCATTCAACTCACAGTGGCGTTGTGAGACATGGAGGGGCATATGGCTGCCATTCTGAATATGCAAGCCCTGCTCAAGGGACAGAAAAACAATTGAGTTTTCTCTCAATTGTGGGGGAAGTTTAAGTCCTGCTTTCCCAGATCACCAAGTTTCCAAATTGGGAGCACATGCAATTACATGCAAAATATCAATGCAAGCATCACAGAAGCAAAGAATATGGAGAATTTTAACACTGCAGTGCAGAATGGGTGGGGGACTTTTTGGCAGCCTGCTGCACATATGAAGAGCAATGCCTTAAGTTGGCACCCAAAAACTATAAAATAATAGCAAAGGAGGAAAGAGTTCTTGGCCTGCCCTCTAGAGCAGAGGCTGTTTGTGGGGGTTATGGACACGTTTAACTGGATAGCTGGCTGATTGTGCACACCAGTGGTGTGGGTACCTGGCACAGGAATACCTCTCTCACTGCTAACTGTGGCTTGAAATTTACCAGTTTGGGCTAGAAATTAATCCACCTCTTTCCGTTTCTTTCTTTCTTTCTTTCTTTCTTTCTTTCTCTTTCTTTCTTTCTTTCTTTCTTTCTTTCTTTCTTTCTTTCTTTCTTTCCATATGTTAAAAATGTAATGGGTCTCAACCTATGCTGAGATTTCTGCTATAAATCCTCTTATAAATGCTATATACTTATAAACCTTTGACTGAATGCTTATGACATGGACCTGCAAATAAAGCACACATGTTCAATTTTACCTACACATGGAAACTTGGCACACAGAGGACTGCTTAGGCAATTCTTCTTCTAAAGGACTGGGGGTGAAGCAGTTTAATAGTCCTTTCTCTGGCTTTGCATAAAGTGGAATGGCACCCACAGACTTTCCATATCTTACACTGGTTACAGCCCACCAGGAATTTATTTTGTGCAAGCTTTGTTTATTTAAAGAGGCTTACACAGAAGGTGCCAGAAAATTATGCCCCAAAAAGTATTTTTTCAGCTTCAAGAATGTACTTACTATAAGGATTAATTATATGACCCCTTGCTTGTCATTCTGTGTGAACTGGCCAGTTCACCCAGACCTCCACTTGATCACCATATAATACTGTGCGTTAGAAAACAGGAGTAGCTGGCTAAAGTTTTTTTTTACGTCCAACAATTCTAAATAAGTAGTAATAATTTTCCGTTTGGTTACAGATGTTACCTTCAGCCTTTTCCTTTCTTTTGTACCAAGACATACTAAATTGGGCTAAACCAAGTTTTTTTTTCTTCCCTGGTAAATAATTGAATAGTCCTGCAAAGATGGTAGATCAGGTAGGTCTCTTTCAGATACATGTATGTAACATGAGAGAGCCGAAGAAGCATGCCTATGCAAGCTTTTATTAGTGTTATGTAGGTTGGAATTGTATTGATTCCATATAATGATAGAATGTTGTATACATTTACCTTAAGGAAGTTAAAGAGGTTAGGGTTAGGGTGATCTAACAAGTGGCAATCTATTATGGAAACAAGGAATTGGGTAAATGCAACATATGGGTAATGCAACATTTACTATTATATGCTAAATGCGTGAGGCATGTTACTGTTGACACACCTGCCTCTGGGGGACTCCAGAGTGCCTTTTGTGGGTGAGATGGTATTCTGCAAAAGCTTTTCCATCTCTTGATCCTGCCACATTTATATGAACCCTTGCAAAGTGAAAGAATCTACTGGTTATCATTATACATTAAGTTTTTATTACCAAATAATTTTCCTGTTCCTATGATTTAAGGGATAATTTCTGATATGATCAGTCAAAGCAATATTTTCTTCAGTAGCTTCTATGAAAAGAAATATACATGAAAGGATATTTAACATATTTTCCAAGCTAAAGGCCAAGACAGATTTTCATTGCAACCCTGAGGTTCTGCCATACTGTGGTGGGAGGACCTCATTTGGAGAGGGAAAGCAGTATTTGGAGAAGGGTGTTTATCTATTTATCCCTCATTTCTTTCCCCTCCACTAGATACCATCTTCCCATATTGGCTGATAAACATCAGGGAACTTTGGGAACAGCAAAGCAATAGCAGGAGGGCAGTTCAGGGGAAAAGTGGTAAATGGGGAAGTTAAGCATACCTGCCTTACAAAGCACAACCTTCCTCTGAATATTATTTAGTTCCCAAGTCAAACTTATCATTTTACTGTAATAGTTGTAAGCAGAGCTCAACAGCTCTAGTTTGTCCTCAAAACATGGTATTTTAATGCCTTAGAAGCAGTATAAAAACCTACAATTCTGAACATCTCTTAAATGTAGAAAACAAAAATATTATATTAGGTGCACGACAATATATTATATATGTAGGATATTCAGTTTGGGCAGGCATGTGAAACCTTCACTAACAACACTTGGTTTTTAGTCCATTGGTTTTTGTGAGAGAAGGGCACTCCTCTGTAATTTTCCTTTTGTTTAGACAGACCATCACTAATCATACATTTTTTAAAAAATTGGACTAAAAAGAATTCTAATAATTCTTTTATGGCAGAATTTTATGGCAGCTCTAGTGATTGATGTCCATTTTTCCTGTAATTTGTAAACTTCATTCTGTTCACATGGGGTGCATAGGACATTTAATAAAATGTCACAGAACTATATTAATTCTCTTTTGGGGTATGAGATTGAGAATCTATACAATTAATGGAGCAAGTATAATCTTAGCAAAATTGCCAGTTCCAGTGTCTCATGATATCTTAGAGGATCCTGGAATAAGGTCTTCCCTTGTCTCTCCAAATATTCCAAATGGCATGACATCTGCCAGAACCTGATTTTAGAATCCAGAATGATGTACGTCCTCCCGCCCTTTAAAAAGGAACTTCATGCAATTAAAGGGACAGCAGGGTGATTTTGCTGGCCCAGGCAACTCGAAGCTCGGTTGCATGGCTCTCTGCTCCTCTCTGTACCCAGAGGCTGCTGTATTGAGTGTGGATGCCTCCACAGCAAAGGGATGCCTGTTCAGACCTCCTTGGGAGTGGCAAAGTCCCTCCCTGCAGGTATCCACACTTGATGAGCAGATGGCAGTGTAGAGAGCTGCTGCAGTGAGTGGAGCCAATCTCCACTCTTGGCAACTATCCCAGGGTCAGCAGGGTTGGGATCCTGAAGAAGGTGGTGACCTTGAGATAGTGGAGATGGGAGCTTTGTGAGTCTAGGCAGAAGCACAGGCTACTGAAGCGCCCTCAAGATTACTGCTCACAGGTTCCCAGACTGACCAGGAGGGTGGGAATGCTTAGAAGGGACGAGAGGGTTCGAATGAGAGGAGGAGGAAGAGCCATTGCCTTGCCCAGCCCTTCAGCCCATGACAAGGTGTAGGGAGAGAGGAGCTGCCCAGTTAGAGGGCCTGTACTGGTCTCACCATCTGCCTCTTCAACAGTGGGAGCTATCCTGAGGGTGGAGCCCCAGAGTTACTGAAAGGGAAGGGGGTTTGAGGAGAAGTCCCTAGTTTGAGTTCAACAATCATTCTTAGTATGGGCAGAGGTTTCTCTTCCAGCTTACTACGGGGCTTTTAGAGTTACTTTGTCTTGTAGCTGTGAGGTGTCAATACAGACCTGCTTTGCAAGGAGACTGTCTGATGTTTGGGAGCTTAAGGGCAAGAAGGGGAGGGCTGAGCCCATGACAGCTGCATAACCTTGGGCCTATAGCCCTTTAAATGGTATGAGGAATTCTTTTGTGGCTTCATGGTATTCCCAAATACCAACTTGGAAGATACACAGGTATCAGTTTCTGCACGTAACCTATTCTAACCTAAGGCCTACTTTATTTGAAATTCCTTCTTTGATATTTAGCTGAACTTAAACCAGAGTGTTTGTACCAGAACTAACTGTATTACCAAAATGCGTAAATAGACACTCAGCAGATTAATTGGGACTAAATGTCCACGTCTGTCATTTGCTCACAAGTTCAGTACCAACACAGGGAGCATGAATGATGGTCAGATTTGGATTATGTATCTTAAAAGAACATCAGCCCCAGAAATAGCCACAATTAATGTTAACCTGGTTCAGAGTTGTTTTAAAGCTTGTTGAATTCTTAGAGTCAGTGCACGAATATCAAAACACATTTTCCAATGTGCTTTAAATTTATTTGTTCCTTGTTGCTGTTTTATGCTAAACCTCTCTATAGTAACACAAAGAAGTAAATTATTTACATTGGTGCTTTGTCATTTTTGAGCAGACCATTTTTTCCTTAATGCCCCCTCCCTAAGATAAACCCCAACCCATGCGGTCCCTGTTGGAATCACATATCTTGTTACAATGCACATTAAAGAGAGATGTCTGATGGGGGACCGCTCAACATTTAAACATTTCCTGTTCCCCTGACAGGCCTAGGAGAACTAGAGACAGCTAGTCAGTCCAGAAGCAAGACTGTATATAACACAGGACTATGGTGTCTTGCAAACTACAGGGAATGTCAGCAAAACAGATTTTTGTTTGCTTTGTTTTTACGGGAGATTAATTTGTCACTAGAATTTAATAAAAAATAGTAATAAGCAGTTCACCTAGCAGATTCCAATCATTGCATGGGTTTATGTGGACTGTTTTCTTTCAACCTTCCTTGTAGTCTGGTATCTGCAGTTGCATTCTAGGTGAGTCCAGTGGTGTCGTCCAGCATGATATGTTTAATAAGTGCTTCTTGGTTCCTTGTGTCAGTGACGATCATAAGCAGCAGCAGCTGCTGGGGGTGCGGCTCCACGAGCTGCAGCACTGTAATAGTAAGGAGAACCTAGAAGAGAAGAGATGCCACTGTGTAAAAGCTTCTGAGGTGTTATTCAGTATTGAGCAAATTAAAGCATTCAAGAAAGTGCCACAGAAGTGTTTGATCAGGCATCCTCCACAATGGTTTTCCTGTCCATCCACCTACAATGACACTGTAGCTAAGCAATCGGACAGATTAGTTAGGACGTGCTATTCAGATTAGAGTGTGCCACAAGGTGAAGCAAGTACAGTTTTTACTGGACAGAAAACTCCATTACTATACCAAACTCAGTTAGCAAGTTGTGTATCAGTAATCCACCTTTCCCTAGGACAGCTGACATACCAACCCAGAAAGAGTAGACTTAATTTACATCAAGGCAATTCAAATTACCCAAGAGGAAGGACTAATTTAGGCCACTGATTTAAATCACTTTTTCCATTTGTATTTCAGAGTTCCTAAATAGAAGTGTGTACTAATTGCTTGATCCAATCATTAAAACATAAAACAACATTTTTAAAAACACAAATCAACTAAATAACTTGTACTTCCTAGGAAGATATAACATCAATCAACTGAATACTTTGTGCTACGAAGGGAGATGTCATATATGAAATATGTAGCAATGTTTATTTTTAAAGGACTATTCCTTATTTAATAGTCAAGTTACTGTTTCTCATGGTAGATGTCAAACTCTTATCAAGATTTTAGATAAAAGTTGCTTTTTACAAAACCAGAGCATTATTTAATACTTTGTATACAAATGGAAAGCTACTGAACAAGTCCAATAATTGTAGATAATGTATCCAGTATATTAATAAATAATAATAATCATAATAATAGGAAAGGAAAATTCCCATGCTTGGGGCTTTTTGAATTGTAGCCTTGAATTTAAACTCTTTATATTCCACCTTTCTTTGTAAAAATTATGGTAACTTCTAATTTTTAAAAAACCGTGATGCCTCAAACAGAACTAGGAACTTCTGCATGCATATTTCTAACTGAAAGAGGAATTACATGCACAACTGGGAAATTTATCCAAATACCTAGTTTTGTATATAGAAGTTGGCCAAATTCGAAGGAAATTATAGTCCTGTGAAACCCTGTTCTGGAGCTAAGCTGCCTATGTTTTCAGTTTTAAAATAGTTTAGAAAGTAAACTGGTCAGTTAAATTTTGAACTTTACTTGAGATTCATAATGCAAAAACAATGTTCTTATTAAATAAGGAATGATACAAATAAAATAATAATATAAATATTAGGCATTTATTGATCATTGGAGCGATCCTGACAACTACCATATAAAATAGGTTAGTATTATGATTTCCAAGCGGCAGGACTAAGTACAATTAGCATGAACTCATGGCAAAGGTTAAATTTATAGTGGGTCCATAGCTCAGTGTCTGTCAGTCCTTGAACAAAAACACTAACTAATCTCTTTGGTGGTTTTCAACCCATTATTAGTGTGGATGTTAGAAGTGGTGTCAGGTGTGGCTGAGGATCGAAGGTGAGTGGAGAGCAGGCAGGTACCCTGTCAAACATGCATGTGTACAAAGCCCTGAATCTTCTCGTTGTCTTCTAAATCCTGCCAGGGCTTTAGCAAGAATGAGAGAAGCAGCCAACGAGACTTTGAAACAATAAAACAAACTTGCAAGTGAGCAGGGAGTTTCCCTGGGTGAACAGCGAGGATATTTTTGCAAACTGCAAGACAGCTATGCAGATGATGTTTTGCTTTCACTATACCACAAATTACCAACTTAGGTATGTATGAATAGATGGCATTGGTAAAAATACTTTTGTAAGTTGTGGCCTTTGTAGACTTGTTTGCAAGACTTCAATACAGCTAATAAATAAGGACAAAAATATAGTTAAAATTAAGCATTTCCATAAATATTTACCATAAGAATGTATCATTATCAATGGTGTAATGTTAATACAGTAAGTATAGAGTTTTTCTTACAGGTTGCTCTCCAGCTTCAACATTTATTTTTCTCAAGAGGAAAGACTGAATCTTATGAATTTGTGGAACAATTTGGTGTGCAGGGCAGAGTCCTCTAACTAGACAGAGACATGTAGCAAACATCAACTAACCCTGACATTCATAGTCATTCATACATCTAGTCAGGTCAGGATCCATGCCAATGGGAATGTTAATAACTGGGCATTGGGCAAATAAACAACAAATATTGAGCTAACATACAGAAAAGCCAGGGAGACAAATTCCTAGAAATGGGCAAACAAAGTTCAGGGATACAGGCAGACTGGTTGTCAGGATGAAGGCAACCATCTGAGATACAGTCAAACAAGTTTTAGGAAACAGCAAACGCATTCCAAAACCCAATGATGGGCTCAAGGTAGCAGTGAATCAAACAGATTGAACCTGGAGAGCAAAAATATCTCAGCATTACTAGAGTGCAGTCCTTTGAACAAGACCTAGGCTGTAGCAGTACTTAATGGAAAACCTGTTCAGACCACAAAGCTGCAAGCTGGCCAATGAGTAACAGGCATCCAACTTGCAAACTGGCCAACATGCAGCTGGTGAGGCTGGTTAAGGAGAATTATCTGGGTGGAAGATTAGAGCAAAGGGCCTCTGTCCTGTCAGCAAAGTTCAAGATTTTACCATTTAGCATCACAGTAACTGGGACCTTTTGACTAGAGCCCTTCTCATTGATGTTCTAGCATTCCACATGCAGTGAGCTTTTACCATGGGAGAAAAAATGCCAGCCCCCTACTAGCATCGTCAAATGGCATGATCCTGGGAAGTCTGCACTACATGCTATTTCTGAGCTATGAAATGTATCTCAGAAGTAAGCAATCAGCATGAGAACTAAATTGGGCACATTTATTAAATTCTGCACAGTGCAAATGAAAGATGCCAGAGATCCTAAAAAAAATCTCAAAATTCCATTTCTAAATAAAATTGGATACATCGTTTCCATACAGGGAAAAATGCAATGAAATTGCTAACAAGCAAAATCTTCCAAGTCATAGAGGCTTCTACTGACAGCTTTAAAGGAGGAGAAACAGGGAGAAATCAATACTGTCGTGACAGACATCATGGAGAAGTCACAAAGTTCAAGACATGTATAAGGGACCAATATTTCAAACAGATGAGCATGTGGAAGGAGACTAGAGGCACCACTGCATGGCACTGATGAAAAAGACTTTCAATATATTACTTAAGGGAAGACAATTGGCACATATTTCAAAACAGGCAAGACCTTTCATCAGTTGCCTTGCTTGCGGGTCAAGAGTATTCCTTTTTTCCAAGTGTTCCTCAAGAATTTCTGTGTTAATCTGATATATGCTTATTAACACAGTTCTGAGGTTTCCCTGGGTGAATGGCATCCTCAGCTGAACAATTCAACAACACTTTCTCCAGAATGACAGTCATGTTAATTTGCTGCAGCAGAACAATTAAGGATCCTGTGGCACCTTAAAGATGAATAAATGTATTGGAATACAGGTTGTGAGTTAGAAACTGATATCATAAGATATATGAAGGAATCCAAATACTTGCAAAAGTGGTCTCTCACCCACAAAAGTGCACACAACATTACTTTCTAGATTTACAGTGCTGCCATACTATCCCTTGTAGTACTTATAATTTTAACTTTGCCTTAGTCTTGACTTCATGACTATTGGCTGTGCCTTCTGAGCACATATACATCTAGATCCATGTCTTTTGTTGCACCAGCCAGAGAAAGAACTGTATTTCTGCACCCTTTCTTCCACCTGGAGACCCCCTCCAAATCTACTTTAGAAGATTGGAGTCCCTCCAGAGATTTAAACAGCATGTGAGGAACTACAAAGGGGAGGAAAGTACATGAAAGTCCTATTCCATAGGCAAATCCTTCTGTGATTAAAATGATGCTACTGAATCTAACTCATAGAGAACCAGAAACATATTCAGTGTAAGCAGAAAAGGAGTGACAGACATTATTCTCTATAATTATTGTAGCAGCCAGAAATCACTGAACATTAACATTTAGGTTGCAGAAATGTTGAAATATAGGGATCTCTTAGCAGCATTGGTGAGGCCACTGTATGAAGGAAGGACAGCTTCATAATGGACATGTCCGCAGAATCCCACTATGCATGACCAAAGGGAAATTCACTGATCTACTTTCCATGCAGCTAACTCAATACAGATCCTAAACAGCACAGAAAACAGTGTTCTATGCAGCTGGGCCGGAATGGAACATCTTGTGAATGTTGGTGTGCACTACACCAGGGTTCCCTTTACACTCTTTTCACTCACCAATTAAGTGATGATTTGATGATTAGGTGAGGGATCATAAATTAACTGCTGCAAATGGAACTTTTATATAGCCTAAGGTTCAACTTGCAATGATTCTGTTGAGGTAATTCACACATTTGGCAGGGAGTCACCAACCGATAATGAATGATCAAGTCTGCGTGAATAAACCAGCTCTCTGAAGTTCATGATTTGTTTCTTTGCTTCAATGTAAATGTCTGGCCACTATTTACCCAAGGCCCACAGCTTCTATATCCAGAAGTATTTGTATGAATTGCATTTGGAACATGTATCATTTTGGAACAGGGCCCTATAGGTTTCAGCAATATTTGAAAAAAGTTATCAAAGACCCCGCTATAGTGACATATATCTATCTATCTATCTATCTATCTCAAAGCTTTCTTCAACTGACTGCCACTTTTCCTTATCCTCCAAATTTGACCTTCTATTCCATTTCTTACAGTGTGATTTTTAAAACATCATCTGACTGTTGTAAAATAATTTTTCTCTGTAGCTCCCTGGCAGCATTTTATATATCTCCTGGGCAAGACCTTTTTTTCCAATTCACACTTCTGTGGTGAAATCAAAAAGACCTGTATTTAAAGTGAAAAATGAAAACATCACATTGCAAAACATTCACTCTTTTCCCCTGTCATTACACTCTCCTCTAGAATAAACTTGTCCATTCTTCTGTCATTTTTTTCCTTTCTAATTCATATTATCATCAATTTATTTCTTGACACAGTCATTTCGGGCTCATACTTGTTCTCTAA